GACGGAATCGCAGCAAGCTACTTGCCTGCTGTGGTGTGACACCAACCAAGACGCCTTGAAGTGGAACACCTTTTTGTTTTGGTATCCAGAACGCCAGAGATGAAATTGGATTCAGTGAAGCTCGTCCACAATTGAGCTGTGTTGTGTGTGTGTGTGTGTGTGTGTGTGTGTGTGTGTGTGTGTGTGTGTGTGTGTGTGTGTGTGTGTGTGTGTGTGTGTGTGTGTGTAACATACAACAACGACGACAACACGGTCAACGGTGCTTATGGGACGCAACGATAAACCTACTAAGAATGTCCTTTGTGTAACATGCAGTGTACCTACATGACTTGTGAACATAAACATCGGACCACACTAATAAAAGAAACCACACAAACCCTGTGCGTGTCACCTTGATTTTATTTGCTGTTGCCAACATTCACATTCACACTAACATCGGGAGCGACACATATACATTTTCACTGGTTACGGTGCGCAGTCTACGAGTCTGTAGCTCGAAACACTTTATAGCCTTTCCATTCGTCCGTCAGTCCGTATATGTGCATGTTATGTGACATGAGTATCAGGCCAATACTGTGCTTTGTAGCAACTGGTATGTCTGGATCACTAAGCATCTTGCGAATTGTGTTTTCCTGACACGACATCTTGGTTGCGAGAACAAGCTCTTCGTATTCCTCGGTCAGGATCACGCCTTCTGCCCACATGTCCTCAACAGCGTCCTGGATTGTGGTGACTCTGGATAACAACTGGTGTAGTTCCATGTCCTCCATTAGTTCGGCGCCGTTGAGTCGCTTCCCTTTCCACCCCAAGACAAGCATCGCTGCAGGGGTCAAGGTGTGAGTGGTTTTGGTTCGCTCTAGTGAAAAACAAAACAAAAACAAAAACAAAACGTAAGACATGATACAAAATGAAACACATACGACACCAACAGACCGTCTCCAGTTTCTTTTCTTTAAGTTGTGCGTTTGTCAATGGTACCTAGGGGGCCTTTCGGGCCGTTTTCTTCTAGCCAGGCGTATAAATGCTTGCAGTGAGTCCGTACTATA